ATATTGATAGGGCATTGATAAGGCCGAGAGAAAATTGTGCTACCGTCGTTGTCTGACGAGAATACAATGCTAGGTGGATTGATGGCTGCAATGAGAAGTTCCAGTTTATTGTTTGGATAACGATCAGTGAGCTGAGGTAACATGTCTGCCAAACACACTGATCCTGACGAACACTTCGTTCGTAGGAAACTACTCATCGATGGTGAATTGCTTTCATCAATTTTAAAATTCAGCAATCGTTCACTGCAACAACCACCAAACCGTTGACGTTTCAATAAATTCGTTTCTATCACATTCAATACAATGCTTTTATGAGTCATGTCACTTTCAGTGGTTTTTCTATGTAACTTTCACTATTAGCATTTGAAAGTTTCACAACCCCAGTAAAACTTCAGAAAATTCAAACAATTCAGCGAACAAAGTATCAAATCAACTTGTAAGCGTGGTAAAGTAGAGCATTTGGTACGTAATCAGAAATAATCAAGTCGACCATTGAATCGTTTCGATTAGCCAATGAAGGCCATCTCAATGAGGGTATACCGAATGGCGTTTCACTTGTCTCGTTTCCTATTGAAACATTACCCAGATTCGCCAATTCTATCGTATTCGTATAACAAACCGGATCTTCGGTCAATCTAAAACTTCTCATTAAACTGCTAACTTGTGGAAGTTTTTATGATCGCAAGCGATAATGACGACGAAAATTTACTGCACCATGAATTCATAAAGCGAAGGTCGCAAAATGTTAATCATTTCAAAATTATACAGTGTTAGTTTTTTCGGTTTTGCACTACAGAAAGATAATTAAAGCGAAGCACACAATCATTGCGATGACACAACAGCGCATTAGGGGCAGTTAAACTGGTTTATCATTGTGCAATCAAATCACGCTAATGTTTTTGGAGTGTAATTGTTCGAGATCAATAAAAGCGTTTTATGTGCGCCTGAGTTAATTCGATATGTGCACAAAAGTTGATGCCAACCTGAAGTCAATGAACGTCTGCTTGGCAAGTTGCTATAATTCGATCGCAATTTATTATGCGAGATTTCATTCTTACGTATGACAGATTAGCATCAATTTCGATGCTATCTTCAGTAATAAGTGATGCAGTATAGTTTGAGATAAACTGAACAACTGGGTCAAACATGCTGATCTAAATAACAGATAGCATAATTTTGGGTCAAATGTCGACCATGAACGAGCAACGAGAGATGTTCGATGGTATTTTTTCTTGTAATAGCTCCGCCTATGATTAAATGAAAAAAACGGAATATCTTCAGTGATGGTACTAACACAATAACTGAATAATGGCAAGAGAATGAAAATTCTCAGATTCAAAAGTTCACCTCACTGAATAAATAATTTGATATGTGCGAGTTCTCTTCGAGATTGTTCACGACTTGAAACTCATCATCGGATTCATCCATATAGCTACGAGAAGACTTCTCGTAATTTCTTCTTGCAAACGAAGATTTCGTTTGTGTTTCGGCCAGTTTCTCATTGAGTGTTTCATCGATGAATTTTCTCACTTTGCGACAAACCTCTGCTTGAATTATGGGACGAATAAGGTTCGATGTCGCTGTCTGAAAGCAAGATTTCTTGAGCTGGAATCATTTCAATAACTGATTGATATTATTGTGTAAAGAAACTGAACACCTCAATTGTTTCGCTTTATAAGCGCAATTAACGGAGTAAAGGCAGGATCCGTAGTGTATCATGTCACGCTCGTTTGTAAATTCGTCGAAGAAATGCTATGAAATCAAGAAAAACATTTCTGTTCAACGTGTTGGCCGATTCAGGATCTCACACCGTACTA